TAGCCAGGATGGTCTTGATCTCCTGACCTCGTGATCCGCCCGTCTCTGCCTCCCAAAGTGCTGGGATTACAGGCTTGAGCCACCACGCCCAGCCTTATTTATTTATTTATTTATTTATTTATTTATTTATTTATTTAGAGACGGAGTCTCCCTCTGTCGCCCAGGCTGGAATTGGTACAATCTCAGCTCACTGCAACCTCTGCCTCCTGGGTTCAAGTGATTCTCCTGCCTCAGCCTCCTAAGCAGCTTGGATTACAGGCACCCGCCACCACATCCAGCTAATTTTTTTTTTTTTTTTTTAGTAAAGATGGCATTTCACCATGTTGGCCAGGCTGGTCTCAGACCTCAGGTGATCCACACCCCTCAGCCTCCCAAAGTGCTGGGATTACAGGCATGAGCCACAGCACCTGGCCTGACATAAGTCTTTAAAAAATCTTTTTTTGAGACAGTGTCTCACTCTACTGCCCGGGCTAGAGTGCAGAGGCACAATCACAGCTCACTGCAGCTTCGACCTCCCAGGCTCAAGCAATCCTCCCACCTCACTTTCAGCCTCCCAGGTAGCTGGGACTACAGGTACATGTCACCATACCCAGCAAATTTTTAAATTTTTTGTAGAAACGGGGGTCTCGGCCAGGCATGATGGCTCACGCCTGTAATCCCAGCACTTTGGGAGGCCGAGGCGGGTGGATCATTTGAGGTCAGGAGTTCGAGGCCAGCCTGATCAACATGGTGAAACCCCATCTCTACTAAAAATACAGAAATTAGCCAGGCATGGTGGTGGGCACCCGTAATCCTAGCTGCTTGGGAGGCTGAGGCAGGAGAATCACTTGAACTCGGGAGGCAGAGGTTGCAGTGAGCCAAGATGGTGCCACTGAACTCCAGCCTGGGCAACAAGAATGAAATTCCTTCTCAAAAAAAAAGAAAGGGGTGTCTCACTGTGTTGCTCAGACTGGTCTTGAACTCCTGGCCTCAAGTGATCCTCTGGCCTCAGCCTCCCAAAGTCCTGGGATTACAGGCATGAGCCACTACCTCACCTGACCTGACATTGTCCTAAATAAGGAAATTAATTATTTACAAAGTGAGGGGCAGGGGTGAGGGAACCTTAAAGTCCAACAACAGAGAAGTGGTTAAGAAAATTACAGCCATTATAATGTTTACCAAACGTGCCCACATTAAAACAAAAAATTTTAACAATTTTATGTTAACGTTAAGTGAAACAAAGCAAGTTAAAAAGTTTGCACAGCATATGATCTCATGTTAAAAATATACTAACACAGTGAAACCCCATCTCTACCAAAAATACAAAAAATTAGCTGGGTGTGATGGCACATGCCTGTAGTCACAGCTACTAAGAAGGTTGAGGCAGGAGAATTGCTTGAACCCGGGAGGAGGAGGTCGCAGTGAGCTGAGATCGCGCCACTGCACCCAGTCTGGGTGACAGAGCGAGACTCCGTCTTTAAAAAAAAGAAAAAAAAAAAAAATATATATATATATATATATGTACATATATGTGTATGTGTGTGTATATATATACAGAAAAAAAGACTGCAAGAATATTTTCCAGAATATAACAGTGTGCTTCTGGGCGGGAGAATTACGGTTTGCAGTTTTTAAAATCATAGTTTATAATATTTTTCCAATGCTCTGTAATTAACATATATTATTGCTATAACAAACTTTAAATATTTTTAAAATGCATATATTCTGATTAATTGCTAGAATTTCTCAACCCCTGCCTCATTTTATTAATTCCAGAAAAAGATGAATCAAGGTCCAAGAGAGCTATTAATAGAATTTCCACAAGAAGGAAAAGCAAAAAAATAAGACAAATATATTAAAATTCTGTTTCAGGATCTGAGTCCTGATGGAGAAATTCCCAGAAGTAGAACTGTATTGAAATTCCAGTAACATCATCACGCTTTTCACAACAGTACACCAAAAACTTACAGAAGGCTCTGTTGGCAGCAAGGAGTTAGTAAATCTCAGAACCACTTGGGTCCCCATCTTCAAGAGTCCCTAGAAGAGATGAATCAGGGCCACCTTAAAACAGGAAGAATAAGAAATGTACAAAATAACAGGCCAGGAAAAAAAAAATTTAAAGCTAAACTAACCTAGTTGGGGCCAGGCCCCTCCCCAAAACCTACCAACTTAGGTCATCTTGAAGTATCAGAAACAGGACCCTAGTTAGCAGGAAGTCCAGCTGAAGATATTACAAGCACAACAGGGCTATCCCAGTGGCATTTGAAAAATTTTTTTTTTTTTTTTTTTTAGAGAGATAAGGTCTCGCTCCGGCACTCAGGCTGGAGTGCACTGGCGCTGTCATAACTCACTGCAGCCTTTAACTCCTGGGCTCAAGAGATCCTCCCACCTCAGCCTCCCAAGTATCTAGGACCACAGATGTGCACCACCACACCCAGCTAACCCAGTGGCATTTCTAAACCTAGTTGTTTAGGTATTAATAGTAATAAAGTGAAGAGTAATACTCCCCTATCATTAGTCAAGCAACAATGCATTTTCCCTTCTTCCTATATTTATCAGTCAAGGACCACAGGAAGTATTCTGAAGATAATCAGGAGAAATACTGGAAGCTCTGCTACTGGCATTTACTTCCCTCTATCCTCAGAAACTGAGTTTTAACCCAGAGAGACAATATGTATAATTTTTTTTTTTTTTTTTTTTTTTGAGACAGAGTCTTGCTCTGTCGCCCAGGTTGGAGTGCGGTGGCACAAGCTCAGCTCACTGTAACCTCCACCTCCCAGGTTCAAGCAATTCTCCTGCCTCAGCCTCCCAAGCAGCTGGAACCTCAGGCACGTGCCACCACACCCGGCTAATTTTTGGTAATTTTTTAGTAGAGATGGGGTTTCACCATGTTGGCCAGACTGGTCTCCAACTCCTGACCTTGGCTGATTCGCCTGCCTTGGCCTCCTAAAGTGCTAGGATTACAGGCGTGAGCCACCGTGCCTGGCCTGGCATGTATAATTCTAAGGCAGAAATGTGTATATTGCACTTTAAGCTTACAAAGTACTATCATCTACATCATCTTATTTGACCTTTGCAGTAAATAATCTCTGAAAATGGGTTAATTTTTTTTTTTTTTTTAACTTTTTTGAGATGGAGTCTCGCTTTGCAGCCCAGGCTGGAGTGCAGTGGCGCCATCTCAGCTCACTGCAGCCTCCACCTATCGGGTTCAAGCGATTCTCCTGCCTCAGCCCCCAGAGTAGCTGGGATTACAGGCGTCGGCCACCACGCCTGGCTAATTTTTTGTATTTTTAGTAGAGACAAGGTTTCGCCATGTGTTGGACATGCTGGTTTCAAGCTCCTGACCTCAGGTGATCCACCCACCTCGGCCTCCCAAAGTGCTAGGATTATAGACATGAGCCACCCCGCCCGGCCAGTACTAACCCGGCCCGACCCTGTTTAGCTTCTAAGATCAAAAGAGATCGAGCGCCTTTCAGGGCGGTATGGCCATTAAATTTTGCATTTTTAGTAGAGACAGGGTTTCTCATTGTTGGCCAGGGTGGTCTCCAACTCCTGACCTCAGGTGATCCGCCCGCCTCAGACTCCCAAAAGTACTGGGATTACAGGCGTGAGCCACCGCGCCTGGCCACCTTCATTTAATATATAGAAAATAGGCTACAGAGTTTCTCCACCAATTAGTGGTGGGGGCAGCCCTCCAACCCACCTTTTCTGAATCTGCCTGCATTGACTCTTTGCCAGACAACAGGCCGGGAAAAAGTGATAATGGTAATGATATAATGGAAGCCAACATTTGACTACAAACTATGTACTTGTTGCAAGTGCTTTAATTTCTCACACTTTATGGAGCTAATACTATTTTTTTTTTTTTTTTTTTTTTTTTTGAGATGGAGTCTTGCTCTGTCCCCCAGGCTGGAGTGCAGTGGCGACATCTCGGCTCACTGCAACCTCCGCTTCCCCGGTTCAAGCGATTCTCCTGCCTCAGCCACCTGAGTAGCTGGGACAGGCCCGTGCCACCATGCCTGGCTAATTTTTGTATTTTTAGTGGAGACAGGTTTTCACTATGTTGGCCAGGCTGGTCTCGAACTCCAGACCTCAGGTGATCCGCCCGCCTCAGTCTCCCAAAGTGCTGGGATTACAGGCGTGAGCCACCGCGCCAGGCCGATACTATCATTGCCAACTTTTGTGTGTGCGTGTGCTACAATTTCATTTTCAGTACTCTACCAGTCTTTAATCATCCCTCTTAGGGACCAGCAGAGAGACAGCGGTATTTGGGGAGAACGGAGAACAGACTGAGAAAGGGGAGTGCGTTACCCCTCCTCTCCAAGCTCTGAAAGTCTGAAGCAGGAAACTGCACGCTAAGAATGTACAAGGCTGAGAGTGGGTTTGGTCTTTGAAATTTTAGCCTCCTCCTACCCGCTTCAACCTCGCCACCTCCGCGTGTCCCCAGTTTCGATGTGGATGATCAACTTGGGTAATATTTTTGTTACCCGCCACCTTCCAGCACCTACCTCTTAAATTATGGGTCCGTCTGGTTCAGCATCTCTGTCCCCAGCCCTCCTGGGCTGGGCCTGCCCCTGCTCTGGCTTTGCCGCGGCATTCCCGCTGCCATGGTGATGCGGAGGCCAGCCACAGGCCCAGCCCGCCTCCAGCCCGCCTGAGCCAGCCCCTGCAGGCCTTGGTCCCGCCTCCGGCCCGCCGGATCCCGCCTCCTGCAGGTCCTGATCGCCCCCGCGCCCCCGGACCCAGATCCTCCCACTGCCGTTCCGGACCCGCCTCCCAGGAGCCCCGACAACAACCAATCCCGGCATGGACCTCAACGGAACTGCGCCCTCTGCCAATGGTAGCCCGCCCCCTGTTATTCCCATACCCCACCCCCTCCAACTCCGCCTCCAACCGCGGCCTGGGGGTGGGGCCGGAAGGCCTCTCTACTGGCTGGACTTTCGAACCGCCCTTAAAACTGGGCGGGTTGCGCTGTCCTCGCGAGGAGCCTTGGGGCCCCGCCCCAGAAAACACGCCAGGCATGTTTCTCAGGCCATTTATTGATCCTAGCGGCCCCGCACTTGCGAGAGCCAACAGTCCCTCCGAGGGAAGTTTCCGGGCCTCGCTGTGCTGTCGTTTATCAGTGTCTTGAGGTCCTGTAGGCCATGGTTGGAGAGCGCTTCCTCCACGCCTCAGCCCCCTTCCCCCATTTGTCTGTTAAGGTCTGGAACCTGACTCAGCCCAAGCCAGCCCTGGTGTCTGAATGTAAAAGCTCAGAATGCTTTTCCAGAGCACCTCCCCTTCAGTTTTGGAGTTTAAGGTGTGTGAAAAAGGATACCATTAATTAAAGTCCGACAAGATCAGCCCACGTGCTTATAGGCTAACTTTTAACCTGCTCTTTCTGCACTTTTCAAGAGCAGGAGCAACAATGGTGAGGTCGAAGACCTACCTCCCTGCACACTCCACCTAACCTCATGTGGCTAGCTAAGTTTAGCTATCCACTCATAGCTAAACCAACTATAACTCCAACCTAACAGTGACAAGTAAGAGGCCAGGGGAGAAACTGGGACGCTCACAATTCCAGGGGCTTTGGAGTTCTTTAAGCTTAAAACGTGGCCAACATCCCTGGGTTGCCACCCAATTCCCCAAAGCAGTAGATTCTCCCGGACAGGAGTAGTGATTAACGATGGACTGGGCCTTCCTCCCCAAGGCTCACACCAGGGTCCCGTTCTTGCTGTCATAGCGAGGTGTGGCCTGGGGGAAGCGAAGGGTCGCATACTCTGTAGCGTCTTCTAAATGCACTTGTTTCGCTTCCCAGGAATGGGGACGGCTGCACACTTGAATGTCAGCATAATGTAAGTTGCTGTCTTCCCACATGAGGCCTGGACTCCTGTCTTGAGACCCTTGCTGCTGTAACACCCGCTCATACGTGTGTCCTGTTGTTTCATGGCCCTGCGAGGAATGGATAACATTAAGGGAGATTCATGGCTTGGTTTTGCCCCTCACCTCCAATGCAGGGGCAGGTCGACTGATGTCCCTTCGCTTTGCTCCTTTGAGGGGCAGAGGAGGAAAGACAGAGCCAGCAAATTCTACAGGTGACTGAAATGTGTCTGTTGCAGGGCAAAAGAGCTGGCTACTGGGATCCCATGTCCGAGCAGTCCCCGAGAGGGGACAGAGGCCTGTCATTACCTTTGGGCCATTCTGCTGCAGCTGTCGTGGCTGTGGCTTCAGTGTCCGTCTTGCTTGGCTTCCTGAGGGGAAGAAATCCAACTTAAATTCATTCTCTCTTCCCTGTCTCTGTTGAGACTGCCTTTTCAACTCACTATTAAACTATCACGGCAGGCTTCCGTCTAATCTCCCTGCCTCCATTCTCACTTCTTTCATGTCTACTAGTCCTAAATCCAAACTCCTTAGCAGGGTTTACAATCTGGCCCTTTCACAATCTGGCCATATTATCTTCCATCCTCATTTTTCACTAGCCCCTAACACAGTTCAACATGAGAACCCATTATGTGCCAGGCTCTGTGCCATGTTCTGGTGGTAGAAGGATGAGTACGCTGTTTCCTCTACCTCAGGGGGCTTACAGCCTGCTAGGAAAGACAAATAAATAAAAATAAGTAAACAGACTTACAATGCAAGATGGTAAGTGCTTAGCTACACCAGTCAGTCACTTTGAATCAAATCAGTCTCTCTTTTCTTTTTTTTCATGAACTGATTTATCTGCCTAAAACACTGTCTTCTCCCTCCTCTGCTGACTTATGAACTTTGCTTTTATTTATTTATTTAGAGACAGAGTGTCGCTCTGTTGCCTAGGCTGGAGTGCAGTGGCATGATCTCGACTCACTGCAACCTCCACCTCCCGGGTTCAAGCAATTCTTGTGCCTCGGCCTCCCAAGTAGCTGGTACTACAGGCACACACCACCACGCCCCGCTAATTTTTCTCTTTTTAGTAGAGATGGGGTTTCACCATGTTGGCCAGGCTGGTCCCAAACTCCTGACCTAAAGTGATCTGCCCCCCTTGGCCTCCCAAAGTGCTGGGATTACAGACGTTGAGCCACTACGCCCAGTCCTTTGCTATTATTTCTTTGACATTTTGACATCAGTGTCTTCTCTCATTCTCCCACAGCATGAGTGCACATCAGTTATAGCACCAGTAGATGATATTACAACTGTTTGTTTATATGAATTTATCTCTTAAATTTGATTTTCAGCTCTTCCAGAGCTGAGATCGTGTGTCTTTCCTCTTGTGCCTCTCTGCCTCCTTGGGACCCACACAGGTCCTCACATACAGTATAAGTGCTGAGTAAATATTTGCTAGATGAATGAAAGAATGAGCAACCCACCCTGCCACTCTGAAATAATGGAAAGAATAAGATCCAGAGGTTCAGAGCTAGTCTTCAATGCAGCAACCTGGATTCTCTTTTCTCTTTGGTGTACTGTCTCCCTTTATCCTTTCATTCCTTTTCTACCCTTCTGCCCTTTCCAAAGGTGGCAGTTCTATTGCCTTCTCTAATTTGCCTCCCCCAGATTCTTCCCCCAGTCCCAAAGTTACCTGTTTTCTTTTTCTTCTGGAAAGTTGATGGGCAGCTCCTGTGATAGGAAAAACAGATAACCCATGTGCAAGAAGCCCTGGCCTCTGCCCTCCCTCCATCATTTGCTCTGTGGTCTCCTTAACATTCTGATGACCTTCCCCTGCCTCCCTCTAACAAAGATTCACCCTGAGCCAGGTTCAAAGCATTAGTCAAGGGTACCACACCTCTCCCACATGGATGGTTCTGGAAGGTGGAGTAGTACAACTGACATAACCAGACCCAAAATACAGCCTCAGGCAACCAGGCACTACATGCCAGGGATGTATCTGGCTTGAGAGCTATTCTGGGATTGTCTAACAGGCTAATTCCCAGCAGAGGGTGAGGGAAACCTGCCAAATGATGGAATATTCTTGGATCCAGAGACCCTCTTGCCTCTTCTTCAGTGCTTTTTTTTTTCCTGGGGTTTTTGCCAATCTGGGACTTTTATTCTGGGAGCCCTGGAAGCTGCCACAACCAGGGCTAACTAATTACAACCCCTTAGGGCCCTTTCTTAACAAGTGACCTCCCTCCCTGCTTCCTTGTCCTTGTTTTTAATTAACAGAGAAAGTGAGAGATGTTTAACCTTTAGCATCCTTTAGAGAACTTTGTCTACAGAACAGGGAGCACTGAATTTGGTGAGTGACTCAGCTATCCTGCCCTCACTGTAGGGCAGACCTCTTATATTTATTTCTGAGCCCCTAGGGTCCCCAGTGGCGCCCGTGTGTCTACGTGATTGTTAACTGTTTGATGCCAGAGAGACAACACTGTCTGAGGAAATAGGCTAAATAGTTTGGGGCTTACTCCGGATTCTTTTTCTTGCTTTCTTGCTAGTATATTTCCAACTCTTGCCAGAACCAACCCTGTTTGTCTGTCTGATCTCTCATCTCCTGGGAAGTTTCCTTCTTTGCTAATTGGTGAGGGTGAGAGAGAGAAGACTGACGTCCAAATCATGAGGACTACTGTGGGGAAAAAAGTCAGGATTTTTCCACACACATTTGACAAAGGTTTCTGTTTTGATGTGACTTTTGGTTTTGCTACAGCTTGCTCAGTTGACAGCAGTTGAGTCTCCAGCCAAACTCTACAGGTGGTTCAGAAGAAAAACTACTTCTGTGTTTTTCTACTTCTTCTGCCACTTCAGCTCTTGCTTTATGTTACCGCTGCTCAGTCAGCCTTATCCTAAGAACGAGATAATCTTCTATTTCTTTACCACTTGTTACTACTCTTTACCTACTTATTTTTATTTAAATGGATAGAGAAAATATTAATCCTAAAATACATAGACTAGGGCTATCCAATGTTAGTGAACAGAGCCTCTTCTCAAGTTAGATATTGTGCAATGCTGGGACACAACCCAAATGGAGTGAATATTCATTTAGATTCACAGGTGATGAGATTTTATTTTTAGATTTAAGGATACTAAGTGGGCACTCTTCTACAGTAGTAATAGGAATAAAAATTTGTGCAATCCTCCTAGAATGCAACTGGCAATAAGTATAAAAAGCCTTAAACATAAATGTGTATGCCCTCTGATGTAGCAATTCCATATCCTAAGAAATAATTATACATGTACAAATATGGATATTCATTATAACATTATTTAAATTGCAAAAAATAGGAAATACTCTGAAGGTCCATGATTTGGTAACTGACTAAATAAATGACATATCCAATTAATGGAATATATGTAGCCATGTCATAAAGAATGTTGGAAGGACACCGAACATCATGGAAAATTTTACTCTTTATTAAGTTAGTAAAAAGATATGTTTTGGAATAAAAACTGTGCACATTTAAAAAATATACGGAAATACACTAAAATGTTCCCATCATCTCTGGGTGCTTATGTTTATGGCTGCTTTTTATTTTCTGCTCTTTGCAGAAGTTAAATTTTCTGCAATGAATGATTATTACCTTTGTAATCAGAAACAATAACAACAAAGAATATTTTAAAATAAAAATATCTTCAATTGCCATAATATCTTTAAGCCTCTGGAGGTTTATTGAGATAACAAAAAATAGAGAACAAAGTTTTATTCAATCCTACTAGTATTTTAAGAGGAAAAAAAGATTTTGGTTGGACTGTTTGGTATAGTGTCTCTAGAATGGGCTCTGGAGTCAGACTGATGAGGTCAGACTAGCTGTGAGACCTTCAGCAAATTTTTAACCTCTCTGGGCTTCTGTTTTCTTATTAATAAAATGAGTATGATAGGCCGGGTGAGGTGGCTCACACCTGTAATGCCAACACTTTGGGAAACCAAGGCGAGCGATCATTTGAGGTCAGGAGTTCAAGACCAGCCTGGCCAACAGGTGAAACCCCGTCTCTACTAAAAATACAAAAATTAGCTGGGCATGGTGGCGCGCCTGTAATCCCAGCTACTAGGGAGACTGAGGCACGAGAATCGCTTAAACCTGGGAGGCTAAGGTTGCAGTGAGCCAAGATTGTGTCACTGCACTCCAGACTGGGCGATAAAGATAGATTCTGTTTCAAAAAAAAAAAAAATGAGTGTGATAATAGATTTCAGAGCTCATGGTATTATTGTAAGGATTAAATAAAACAGGAAATATAAAATACTTAGCATGGTTCCTAGCATATAATAAGCATCAGTAAAAGTTGACCACTAATGACTATCACCATCAGAGAACTAACCAGTAATGAAAAAAGAATACCAACACTTGGGAAGAGACAGAATAAAAGAAGCTGTTACATCCCCTTCTCTGGAAGCTTTTCTGTGCTTCTGGATGTCCTGTGTCTATAAGGCATCTCAGAGTTTAAAGGGTGCTTTATTTTGTCAATCCTGACATTCCAGGAAACATATATTTTTGTTCCCATTCTACAGATGGGTCAACTAATGCCCTTTTTTACTAACTTAATAAAGAGTAAAATTTTCCATGATGTTAGGTGTTCTTCCAACATTCTTTATGAAGTGGCTACATATTTTCCATTAATTGGATATGCCATGTATTTAGACAGTTACCAAATGTTGGACCTTCAGGGTATTTCTTACTCAACAAGGCAGGGACCAAATGTCCTTTTATTACTATGTCTTCTGTGTCTATCACTGTGCCTGTAGTACATGTCCAATAAACATTGTTTAATAAATGAATGGATAAATGAATGAGTAGTAGGGCAGGACTTGAATCCAATGTACTACTACAAAACCTATGTGTTTTCCAACACACTTCACTTGTCTATCTAAATATAATGATGCTTTATTTATAACATGACATTCTCAAGATCTGCCCCAAGCATGGAAGGTAGTAGACAGGATAAAACCAGGACCAGGAATTTATGGCATGGCAGTGATGAAAATTCTGGGAAAGAACAGTAACAGGGCCACAGATAATTTATTACGAGGTTCTAACATACAGTATATCCTTTGCTCTTCAAAATAAGCCTGTGATCTACACAATGTAGGATGTATTATCTATATTTTATATATGAGGATGAATACAGAGAAATTAAGGGACTTATTACCTATGGTCACATAGTAAATAAGTGTGAAAGTCATACTCAGATATCCCATGGATATTCTTCTTTTTCCTACTTCTGCCCTTTTATTTTTATTTTCATTTTTGAGGCAGGGTCTCTCTGTCACCCAGACTGGAGAGCAGTGGGGTGATCATGGTTCATTGCAGCCTCGACCCCCAGGGCTCAGATGATCATCCTGCCTCAGCCTCCCAAGTACCTGGGATTACAAGCGTGCACCACCACACCTAGCTAATTTTTTTTTTTTTTTTTTAGACGGAGTCTCACTCTGTCGCCCAGGCCGGAGTGCAGTGGCCGGATCTCAGCTCACTGCAAGCTCCGCCTCCCGGGTTTACGCCATTCTCCGGCCTCAGCCTCCCGAGTAGCTGGGACTACAGGCGCCTGTCACCTCGCCCGGCTAGTTTTTTTGTATTTTTTAGTAGAGACGGGGTTTCACCGTGTTCGCCAGGATGGTCTCGATCTCCTGACCTCGTGATCCGCCCATCTCGGCCTCCCAAAGTGCTGGGATTACGGGCTTGAGCCACCGCGCCCGGCCTAATTTTTTGTTTTAGACGGAGTTTTGCTCTCATTTCCCAGGCTGGAGTGCAGTGGTGCAATCTCAGCTCACTGCAATCTCTGCCTCCTGGGTTCAAGCGATTCTCCTGCCTCAGCTTTCCGAGTAGCTGGAATTACAGGCATGTGCCACCATGCCCGGCTAATTTTTTTGTATTTTTAGTAGAGACGGAGTTTCTCCATGTTGGTCAGGCTGGTCTCAAACTCCTGGCCTCAGGTGATCTGCCTGCCTTGGCCTCCCAAAGTGCTGGGATTACAGGAGTGAGCCACCGCGCCCGGCCACTTGGCTCTGTTTTCTAAGGTCTCCTGAAAGGAGGTGCGGCTCTGGTGTTGGAACAAGGAGGTACCAGGCAAAGGAAGGTGGCAGTGGGAGGCTGGCAGACAATTATCTCCAGGTACTCTGATTTTCAGGGGCTCTACATCCACCAATAGAGATAGATGTTCCCCTCTGCCCTTCCACCCTACTCACCAGCTTCCTCCGCAGCAGACCCGGTTTCCCATGGCGCGCTGTCTCCAAGGGAGCCCAGCTGTTTTTATGCATCAAGAGGCTTGTGCATTTCCGGGTTCCTGGTTGAGCTTTCCGCCGCAGCTCCCGGAGTCTGTGTCAGTGTCAGATTTCAACCTAGCAGGTTGGACTTTGGAAGCCACCTGCTGGAATGATTCCCAGGTGACTGCGTTCCCAGGCAAAGGATAGAACAACACACGGGCTCCAGGTGAGAGCTATCTCAGCTTCAGGATTTGAAGCGTTTTTTGATGAAGCCATGAACTTGAGCTTCAAGCTTCAATAAAAAGAAACCTGAGATAGAAAAGGGCTCTCGATTTCCTTAGGAAATGCTTCTCCATTACATCCCTCTGTCTTTGAAATATATCCTCTATAATAGATGAGTGCCTAATGTAATAGTTTGCTCAGCACCACTCTGGTTTAACTGAGTTTCACTTTCGTGGCAATTGGTACCAGTTTCTCATTATCTTTGTCCAGAATCTGGATTGGGATACTGGAGTCTCTTGGAAACTTAAGTTTAGGAAAATGAGTTCCTCATATAGTCTCCCTAGATCTTTGAAATCTATGTGGGCAAATCACTTAACCTTTATAGGGTCTAAGTTTCCAGGGCTGTGAAATTAAAAAACTGAATCTAATCCCCTTTCTGGTATAAAATCAGATGATTCTATGATCGGGATGGCCTCAGCACTTCTTAACCACTCACTTCCCTATCCACAGTTCAGAGCTACTGATTCTCCACTTACCCCTCAACTCTGCTTCTCCTTCCAGTAACGCAAAGTTTGACTCACCCCACACTCACCAGTTAGAAAATATGGGCTCTAGGAGAATCCATTGAAACCCATCATTCTTGTCTTCAGTTCTCTCACCCCATTTTTAGTGTTTTCCTTGGATGCCTGGTTATTTGTGTGTCCTTTAAGTGGATGTTCAGGGCCCACCACTCAGCTCTGCACTCCACAGAGAATACCCTGGACTTTGAACTCCTCTTATGAAACATGGGTAAGAGTGACAATCTTACAGGATTGTGGTGAAAAATAAAGCTGTAGTGCAGGGCCTGGCATATGGGACACGCTCAGTAAGAGTTAGGTATTGTTGTTGTTATTATTACAAAGCATATTATTTTCTTTCTTTCTTTAATTTTTAAAGAGGGTCTCAATCTGTCACCCAGGCTGGAGTTGAGTGGCTAGCTTACTGCAACCTCAAACTCCTAGGCTCAAGAGATTCTCGCCCCTCTGCCTCTCGAGTAGCTGGGACTACAGGTTCACACCACTGTGCCTAGCTAATTAAAAGAAAAAAAAATCTTTTTAGAGACAGGGTCTTTTTTTTTTTTTTTAAACTAATGTGAGATGGGGTCTTGTTATGTGGACCAGGCTGGTCTCGAACTCCTGGCCTCAAGCAATCCTCCCATCTCAGCCTCCCAAAGTTCTGGGATTACAGGTGTGAGGCACCACACCTGGCCAAGATAGGGTCTTGCTATGTTGCCCCTGCTGGTCGTGAAGTTCTGGCCTCAAGTGACCCTCCCACCACGCCTGGTTCCCACATCTTAATTTCTTTTCTTGTGCCCTAATCATTGCACTATTTCATGGCCATGCTTCTTCCGTGCAATCCATTCTGTATTCTACTCTACCATTAACTGTATCCTTTTCATCCTGTTACCCACTCCTTCTCCTCCCAGTTCAAAAGCCATTAATGATTTCCTATCACCTACAGGATACCGTTCAAACTGCTTAGCCTAGCACTTAAAGCCCCCCATAATCTGGTTCCTTTTTAGCCACCCCTTCTGTAATGTTTTAAAAAGCACCTAAGCAGCTGGGTTTACACAGTGGCTTGGCTCATGCCTGTAATCCCACTGCTTTGGGAGACTGAGGCAAGAGGATCACTTGAGCCCAAGAGTTCAAAATCAGCCTGGGCAATATAGCAACAACCCATCATCTCTACAAAGTATAAAAACTGAAAAATTAGCCAGGTGTGGTGATGTGTGCCTGTAGTCCCAGCTACTCAGAAGGTGAGGTGGGAGGATTGAGCAAGAGAGGTTGAGGGTGCAGTGAGTTGTGATCACGCCACTGCACTCCAGCCTGGGCAACAGAGTGAGACTGTCTCTAAAAAAAAAAAAAAAAAAAAAAAAGAGGAAGAAGAAAAGAAAAGGAAATCACCTAAGGGATTTTTAGATGACCAGAAACTCCAAAGAAATCCATAGAGCAATAGACCATTGTGGTAGCCAGAAAACCTGATATGCCTAAAGCAGCATTAATAGAAGCCTGAAGTGATAAACAAGGATATTGATTATTCCACTGAAGTCTGTACCAGTCAATCCATGACTGGAATAACAATTGTAGGCCTAGATGTTGAAATTCAAGTTACGTTATCAAAAGGCAGTATGTTCAAAATAAAGTTAATGGGTAATATGTGATGTGGAAAGTGCTATATGATATGGTTGAAGGAACAAGGCATGGCCAGGTGTCGTGGCTCACGCCTGTAACCCCAACATGTTGGGAGGCCGAGGTGGGCAGATTGCTTGAGGCCACAAGTTCAAGACTAGCCTGGGCAACATGGCGAAACCCAGTCTCTACAAAACAATACAAAAAATTAGCCCGGTGTTATGGTGAGAGGATTGCTTGAGCCAGGGAGGAGGAGGCTGCAATGAGGGGAGATGACACCACTGCACACTCAGCCTGGGTGACAGAGAGAGACCTTGCCTCAAAAAAAAAAAAAAAAAAAGACCTAGGCATGTTTAGCTGGGAAAGGGAAGCCTCAGGAAGACAGGATGGTTATCTTTAAATATCGGAAGGATTTTCAAGTGAAAAAACTATTGCATTTGTTTTTCAGAGAAGTTACTGAAATGCAGATTTTGATTCAACAAAATCAAAGGAATTTATAATGGTTAAGTTAAGACCAAAAAGAAAATGGAGGGCCAGGTACAGTGGTTCATACCTGTAATCCCAGCACTGTGGCAGGCCAAGGCTAGAGGACTGCTGGAGTCCAGGAGTTCAAGACCAGCCTGGACAATAAAGCGAGATCTCGTCTCTAGAAAAAGTAAAAAATTAGCCAGGCGTGGTGGCACACACCTGTAGTCCCAGCTACTCAGGAGGCTGAGGCAGGAGGATTGCTTGAGCAAGGGAGGTTGAGGCTGCAGTGAGCCATGATCATGCCACTGCACTCCAGCCTGAGCAACAGAATAAGACCCTGTCTAAAAAAGAAAAGACCATAGAACAGGCTACCATGGGAAGTTCTAAGTTGTCTGTCATTCAGAATGTCCCAGAATAAGTTGATTAATAACTTTAAAAGAATTTGAATGGAGTGGGGATTTGGACTAAATCAGAAGTTTTCAAATTTTTTATAGCTAAGAAACCCTTTCCCTTAAATAAAGCTCAGTTACAAAACATATCAATGTGAAGTTATTCCGGTTGAAGTCTAAGTGGAATCCTTTTCTTATTATTTTTCTTCTCAACTAGATTCCGGAAAGTTGGCAATAAAAGCTAATAGTTTTTATATTTACAATATATATCCCCCATGGTGTATTACATGAGGTTTGGTAAATATTTATTGAATGAATGAATGAACAATTAAATATATCAAATGTTATTTCTCTGGGGCATGCTTTCATTTTTAATAGGCAGCAATCTTTCAACCAGAAGTTGAATTCCTCAAGTGAGTTCTGTTATCCTGGAGGTCCACAGATCCCTAAGAGGGATGTATGAATGGGTCTGAAGAGTTGTGGGAATCTATTCAAATTGTATTGCTAAATTTGGGAGCATATGTATTTTTCTGGTAAGAGCAGCTATAGCTTTTATCAGATTTTCAGAAGGGTCTATAACTCCCAAAAGTTAAGAAACAACCACTTAATTTAATTAAATTTAATTTTTTTGAGGCAGGGTCTCACTGTGTCACCCAGGCTGGAGTGTAGTGGTGCAATCTCAGCTCACTGCAGCTTCAACCTCCCTAGCTCATCCTCCCACCTCAGCCTCCCAAGTAGCTGGGACTACAGGCATGCACCACCATGGCTGGCTAATTTTTATTTTTTTGTAAAGACAAAGGTTTCACTCTGTTGCCCAGACTGGTCTCTTACTCTTGGGCTCAAGTGATCCTCCTGCCTCGGCCTCCCAAAGTACTGGGATTACAGGTGTGAGCTGCTACACCCAGCCAAGAAACAACTACTTTAATGGAAGAATTGTAGGTATCTACCACAGCTTAATAAAATATGTATTTGGAGGCAGGAAGGTCGTTTTGGACACCTCCCCCAAATCACATAGCTGGATGTTCTCTTGATTGCAGAGAATAACTGAGGGGACAGACCCTCAGGCTTTCCTGAATATACCATACCCCCAGAGGATGGGAAGGTAATGGGGTTCCATGATCATTGGAGAGGCTTTGTGTCTGTGCCCCTGTGTATGCATATTCAGGCTCTCAAAATCAGTGACCATTTCAGTGGACAGACCTTAGTACATGAAAACAAAGTATTTACTTCAGGGCTTTAGGCAACTCTCATCAGCCAAAAACCATTTTCCCAGCCCCTACCCAAAAAGGGCCAGACAGTCTGGAGACCCTTGTTTTTGTGTCTCTAATCACCAGCTCAGACAGTGCCCTCTGGGCTGTTTGGATGGCATATCCCTTTTCCCTCCCAGGATCACTCTCTCTTTTGTTGCATTGTGAGAAAATTACGGCTAGGAATTTGATCTGGAGCCAGAGTCAGCTTCCGGGTGTGATCTCAGTATCCAAGTGCGAGCTCAGGGTCCTATGACGTTGGGCACATCAAACTGAGGAACTTTTTGTCTAGCTGGCTGTGACCTCCTCCCTCCCTCCCCATCCCAGCTTCCCAGCCACAGAATAGGGAGCAGCACAAACAAGGCCCTGAGATTTGGGTTTATTCGGCTCCACCCAAAACTAAACCAAGGCTATGACACGTCCCATGGGACCAAACCATACATTGTGGACCATGCACCTTTCCTTTCCCCCAAGGATGCTGCTACCTCTGGAGTGGTGGGCAGCTGCCCATATCACCATGGGAGGTAGAGAGGGATTTGCTGGGTGCTGGGTCTGTGGCAATCAGGGCTCAACTATGGCTGCCTCCTCCTCTTCCTCTGGATCAGGAGGCGCAGGGAGCAGGGAGATGTAGACCTCATTGACCTCTGTGTCCAAATGTCGGCCACCCCGAGGCGCTTCCAGGTTTAAGATGCCATCATGAGAGAGAGCAGCTCGGACCCGCCAGGGGTCGACATCAGCAGGCAGGACATAGGTGCGGCAGAACTCTCGGGACACGAAGCCGTGGCGGTCCAGGCGCTGGGGGTGCCGGGCAGACACCTCCAGCAGGTTATCCACAGTCCTCACAGTCACCTCGTCTGGGGTAAAATGGCTCACATCCAGAAATGCCTGGAACTTGCCCTCACTGAGCCTAAGCTCAGAGGCCCCTGCCCTGCTGCCCTCCCCAGCTGGGGCGGCCCGAGGCCGGACATAGTAGCCATGGTAGAGTGTGGGGGTCAGGATCTCTTCTGGCAGAAGGCCTAAGGGGCAGA